GCACGGGGTAGTTGTGCTAGTACTTGACCATTGGCACCAATATAAGCAGTAATACCTGTATTAGTTGTGCGAATAATCGGTTTTTGAGTTTCAAAAGCGCGCATTCTACCAATTTGCAAATGTTGGTCAAGTACCATCACGTAGCCAAACCAGCCAAGGTTGGTGATATTGGCAAGGATGTGTGGCTGCATGCCTTTTTGGCTATTTTGTCGGATAGAGCGAGCAATTGCTTCACCAAATAAATCTTCGTAACAAATGTTAGGAGCAATCCATAATGATTTAACCCGTACGGGGTTTTGTACCAGTGCGCCAGCTTGGAATTCGCCAAAAGGCATTTGTAATAGTTTGACAAACCATTCAAATAGGTCAGGGATGTATTCACCAAAAGGGACTAAGTGATGTTTATCGTATCGATAATAAAATTGCCCATCTGGGTTCATCACATAAGCACTATTGGCATACTCAGTTGCTGAATCTTCAGAAATTGCCCCCAGTAAGTAGTATGTGTGGTTGGTCTTTGTTGCATGAACGATACGCTCGCCGACTTGATCCATCACTTGTGCCAGTGCTACCGGATGGGCTGATTCAGGCGTGATAACCAAGTCAACACTTTGATTTTCAAGAGATTTTATATAAGTGTCATATGAGAGTTGTAGGCCATCAGCACTAAATTTGATGGATTGCGAAATATTACCCTGAATACTAGCCACGGTTAACGGTTTTCCTGCTGGATGACCCCACCAATGATTTTGTAACAAAGCATAACAGCTTACCAAGATAATGCTACCCAAAAGTGCCGTGATTGACACACGACGTGGCAGAACATGGTGCTGTTGGTACAAGGTCAAGGCATTGGCAATTAAGGTGCAAATCAAAAAGACAATAAAACCAATGCCATATACCCCAAACAAAGGGGCAAAAACAATCAAAGGGTATCAAGGATTAACGCCTTATGTTACATGGGAAAACTGGCCAATGCTTGGATTGTGGGCTTGTCTTGTTGTTTTAGCCGTCATCGCTAGACAAATGCAAAAACGTTAATCACATCTACCCAAAAATCCGCAAGCGTCTCCAGTTTCATCGTTATTCCAATTCTCAATAGCATGTAGACTTTATCACTCCTTCTCGCCTTACCATAGTAATTTTATTTCTAAGTCAAAGGTGCAAGCGAAACGACGACGAAGACATGACAAATGTAAGGCTAGGAGGAGTGACAAATTGCACGTTTGACATAGAACTGGAATTAGAATTACGCGTGCCCAACGCCCATGCTCACAGTGCCATCAAGTTGATCTTTTTCTTGCTGCGCTTTGTAATCCTTTGCAAAGGCAAGCATCCGATCAATCGGGACTAGGGCTTTGGTACGGATGGTTTCATCGATGTGAATTTCATTGCGTCCTGTTTCGAGCACTTCTAACAAATTTTGTAAATCATTCATGGCCATCCATGGGCAGTGAGCGCAGCTTTTGCACGTTGCTGATGATCCGGCGGTCGGTGCTTCGAGGAAAAATTTTTGTGGATTTTGTTGTCGCAAAGCATGCATCATGCCGTTGTCAGTGGCAACAATGAATGTGTCAGCGTCAAGCTCACGCGCTGCTTTAAGGATGGCAGAGGTTGAGCCTACCACGTCAGCTAGACGCACGACATCGGCGGGGGATTCTGGATGCACCAAAACTTTTGCATTAGGGTATTGTTTTTTGAGGTTTTCGAGTTCGATGGCTTTGAATTCGTCATGCACAATACACGAGCCTTTCCACAGCACCATTTCTGCTCTTGTTTCTTTTTGGATATACCCCCCTAAGTGTTTATCAGGCGCCCAGAGGATTTTTTTGCCTTGGGCTTTTAAGTGACGAGCAATGGGTAGAGCAATCGATGAGGTTACCATCCAGTCTGCTTGTGCCTTGACCGCTGCACTGGTATTGGCATAAACCACAACGGTATGGTCAGGGTATTGGGCGCGAAATTTTGCAAACTCTTCATCAGGGCAACCTAAGTCCAATGAGCAATTAGCTTCCATGTCAGGTACCAAGACTCTTTTTTCTGGGCTTAAAATTTTGGCGGATTCTCCCATAAAGCGTACACCAGCAACGACTAGGGTTGTTGCGGCATGATCACGCCCAAACCTTGCCATTTCTAACGAATCTGAAACACAACCCCCAGTTTCAATCGCTAAATCCTGCAAATCGGGATGAACATAATAGTGTGCGACTAAGACCGCATGGTTT